TTCACAAAAGAGGTTTACTCATGCGTAATGTAACAGTTACAAGCAAAGCCAGGACTGGCTTAGTACATTTACATTGCTCATTTATACTTCTCCCCTTCCTGCGCTTTTCGCCCCCCGATTGCGTTACCGCCGCGGATTATTAGCCCCCAAATCATCCCCCTTAATTGTCCAGAATGGCAGGTTCAGCCCGGGTCCCATTGTCCTTGATTGGTAGTCCCCTCCGGCGTGGGTTGGGTCCCTTGGGTTCCTCCCGTCACGTGCAAAATCCGAGGCTTCTGGATTGCACGGTGATCTCGTTCCGCTGCCCGTGGCCCTGCTCATTGTTAGCTCGCACCGCTTATCAGCGTAAAGTTAAAGCTTCCGCTGCGGTTTTCCCGTTTGGCTAAGCGCAGGTGGCCCATTAATCAACTGCACTTTCAGTTCCTCTTTTCCTCGGCTACCAGCTGGTAGCGAAGTTAGTGCGGTGCGGTGGCAAGCTTTCCTTGAAGCGCCATGCCGGCCGAACCTGACAACCCCCAGATAGAAAATGATTTCTCATTTGCCTGTAATGTCACAAATCCCACTGAAATGAATGGAAATTTCCTAGCAGTATTTCATTATGGATTGCTCTCTCAAATCTTTAGCTGAACTCGGAAGGATGTAGTTAGAATTACACAGGTTTCCTATAGACAGAATTCACAGTGTATTTGCCTGTCAAAAAAAGTGTAATTTTTTAAGAACTGTTTTGAAATAGAGATTTTGCTTTAGAGTTTTTGGTTCCAATATTAAGCATGCTAAATGTTTAATAAATATAAAATTATTTTAAAGATAAAATGGGCCCACCAAATGTCTCAATCAATGCCAGTGAGAATTCAATTAATGTTTTCATCGCATCTCCTGGAGAATCTGAAAACAATGCAATGAGTGCAATATATACGCTGACTTACCACGTTTGGTATTGGACAGCTTCTTCATTTGTGAAGGTAACATTTTTATTTTTCAAGAGTAAACACAGATTTGTATCAAAGCCTTTTACTGTTACCTCATACCTTTTATAATCCTATGGGATATTTGATAATTTTGCTGCTGTGGCAGTCCAACTGGACCACTTGGAAGATGATGAAGAAATTACTGACATACTATACTAACAGGCTTGGCCAACACAATTTTACATTCCATTTGAATTATTTCAACATTTAGCCCAATACAAAACAATTATTGCTTGTGTGTATGTGTGTCCTCATTCATCAAGATTTTATAGTGCACTTCTGCAGAACTCCTGTCATTAGAATTATTCTCTTCAAAATAATGTATGGGTTTTGTTTTGCCAAATAGTTACATATCCAAGTTGCAGGTTTTTAAGTACATACCAACAGCACAGTGAATACACCATACCTTCTCCAATGTGACATTTCTATTATAGAACTGAATAGCCACAGAACAGAAGTTTTCAGGCTCACACACAAGCCTGTAAAACAATGTGGCTACTTTAAAGAGATGCTGTATTTGTGTTTCTATATTTTCTGAAGCATATTTTTCAAATAATTTTCAAATTATGTACAAGTATAGCTCCTCTTAATGTATCCTTTTAAAATGAATCCTTAAATAATATAGTATAATTTTGTCTTTTCAATCCAGTATCTTCAAGTAGAAACGATAACTTTTTCACCTGTGCTGTATGTGGCTTTTTTCAGGAGCATTAAAACACAAATGTGTCATCCCAAGTACTGTTAACTAGGAAATAGTGTCCAATGACAGTCCATCAGTTGTCACCAGTACTTTCCTATTCCTTGGAAAATATTTCTCGGATTGACTGAGCCATATTTCTGCAATTATGTATTGCTTCTAAAGATAAAATCTTTTCCCTAGAATTTACTTTGATTTAGTTATTCGTCTGGTTTATCCATGTATGCATTCTCTTTCATCTCTTTTTGCAGAAAGAACTAAAAAAAAAACCATCACAGTTTATAATCTCAAATCTGACCACCTCAACATTATATTGCTTACAAGTGCAAGCATTTACTGAAGACTATAAGATACATAGTGCCTTTAGCAAAGTAACTTGCATTAAAACAGCAGAAGGTATGTTAACATAACTTTTAAAAGGAATGCAACTTCAGAATATTCACAGAGTTGAGAGCAGATTTTTTAATAGTATAACTCTGATTCTTTGGAATGATTTTGAGAAAGACTCAAAAGTATGGTATTTCATGACATGGCAGATTCAATAAGAAACTGTGTTTAATCTTACGTGAAATGCGTATTCCATTAGAATGCGTAAAATCATTTTATTTGGAGCTCTCACTGAAACAAAATTGAGTCTCAGAGCCTTTATATAATTAGGAGTGAGTAGATGTCCTTATTTCTGCACAAAAATAATTTGTAAGCCACAATAATCCTTTTTGTTATCTTTATTACTTTTACATTTATTTATATCACATTTGTTTTCTGAAAGCTGAAGGCATCATGGGACTCTTCTCTAGTTTTATCCACATAGAAACATCTATATGAGTTAGAGAAAACAGTCCAAGAGAACTCTGAAGTAAAATGGGGACTGAATATGGGACTCCTTAGCCCAAGGTCAACATTCAACCACCATCTTCCTGTAAATTAATCTAGAAAAGGCCAGGAAGGTTAGGGGCTCATGGGCCAGAAGCCAAGACTTCTTTGAAATAGCCCAGTATTTTGGAACACTTCATGCTTAGAGGTGTGCCTGACCCCTTTGTTACTGACATTTCAGAAGGCATTGAACATTTTATTCTGGTGGGCTTTCAAAGTTGAATAGTGACTTGGGACTGCCTTTGTTTTTTATATATGTTTTGCAGATGTTACTGGATGGCTTGTTTTTGTGTTTTCATACATTGGCCAAAGTCTGGTAGTATGAGTGGTATAAAAAAGCCACGAATAGCTAAATACTGCTGCGGCTATGCTAGATATCATAAAAATACAGAGATAAAAATGTAAACCTAACCAATTGCTGGTGAGCTATGATTCTTATGGGGATGACACTCTGCTGGCTTCTACTGGTAGAGGGGAAGTACTTCCATTGTTTTCCATGGATCAATTGCTCCTGATAGTAGCAAGACTAAAACTTTCAAATAGGTACTGTAGAGGCATATTGGAGGTGATTTTAGGGCTCTGGATCCAAAGTCTCTTTGTATGACAATAGTTGTTTGACCTTCCATCTATTGCTGGTATAGTCAGATTTTTTCATTGTTATCATTGAGAAAGAAACTTAAAAATGAAAAAGCTACACTGAGATAGGTACATGTGTTTTCCTCTCCCTTTCTGCTCAGTGTATATGTACGCAAATATATACAGTGGTACTTCAGTTCACGACCTTAATTCGTTCCGCGACTCTGGTCGCGACCCGAA